CCATGCCCGCGAGCACCGGGGCCACCTCTGCCCCCCCCCCCCCCCCCCCGCCGCCGGGTAACGGGGCACCGACGCGGCGAGTGAGGGGGCTCTGCCACACTCAAGATGGCGCCGAGAGCCCTTCGTGGGGCAACCACACGGTTTTGCCACCCCCCGGGAGCCGCTCCCCAGCCCGCAACGGCCCCGCGGGTGAGGCAGCGCCGCGCGTAAGCGTTCTCCGGTGCGGAAAGCGAGAAGAAAGCGGCGAAGGGGTGAAGAAAAGCACCCCCAGACGGAGCAGCACCTCTGCCACACTCAATATGGCCGCCAGGCTAAGGCAATAGTCGGCAGAACCTGTCCTCGGAGGGCGGGATATAGGGATCGAGCGATGCGGATTGGTCGGCAACGCTGAGCGAACGCTGTGCTGACGCTTTGCGGCTTCTTAGTGGCTGAAGCCCCTGTCTGTCTAAAGCGGAGTGGTTTTGAAAACCCGGAGCGGGCGTGGGGCGGCGCGTTGGAGCGGAGCTGGGGCCATCTGGTTGGGCGTACGGGGCACTCTGCGGGGAGGGTCGCGACCCCCGGCGGGGTGGGCTGCCGCGGGCGGACGGTGCCCTTCTCTCGGCCGCTGGGAGCCGGGCTCCTCCCGCCCCCCAGCTTTTCAGGAAAGCTGCAAAGAAGCAATGGCAGCCTCTGCACTGCCTGGCACCAGGCCTGGCGGCACGAGGCGTCATGGCGCCGGCCTCCCTCACCCCATCCCCACATGCGCCCAGCAGCTGGACACCGAGGCCACAGGGCCCTGTTTCCAGGACAGAATGTTCCTTCCACAAAACGTAGTAGCACCACAAACAGGCTGCTCTGTGCCTGGTCGCACCATGGAACACTTTTCTCCTCAGACTCAAGTGTCCTGCCCCTCCTGGGAGCAGCCCTGAGGTGATGAAGATGGGGGGGTGCGGGTGTCAGGGCCTCAGGGTTGTGGCGGGAGCGGGAAGCACCGTGGCGGCTGAGACCTCGTGTCAGCCACTGACCGTCCGACTGACCTCGTGCCGGGGCTGGCCGTCCCCTGCCCTGACCGTCCCCCAGCCCCAGGGGCCGCCTCACCGTCTGTGAGCGCTGCCACGGAAAACTCTCGCTTTGCGTCAGAGCCGCTCTCGGCACAAGGGTGCCCCGCTCGCGGCTTTCGGGCGCCAGCGGCGAGCCGGTGTTTAGTCAGGAGGGGCCTTTTGGGGACAACGAATTTCTCACGTTGGATGTCCCGCTCTGACCTGGCGGTGGGAGCGGGGAGAGAGCCTCTCCACCCGCTCGGGGGGAAGGACAGGGCTGTGGAAACCGGGATTTCTGGTCGCTGCTGGCTACGCCTCTCGCTTGGTGTGTTCAAGACAAGGGCAGCTGCTGTCTATTCCCGGAGACCACACTCAACAGCGGCTGTGGGTTTGGGGCAGGTTGCTTACAGGGCTGGAGGCAGGAGCGCCCTCTGCCACTGCCAAGCCCGGGGCTGGCGGGGACGGTGAGTCTAAATGCGTCCGAAAGAGGAAAAAAAAAAAACAAACCAACAAACCAAGCCCAGCCCTAAAATAAAACACTTCTGGTGTAACTTGGCTTTAATGTGTGCCTTCTCATCAAACCAGGGATGTTCCTTTGGGCTTGGGGTTCCCACGTTTCATGAACAGTTAAAAAAAGAAAAAGAGATGTGGGATATTTGGGGAAGAAAATTAGGAATCCTCAAGGGATGGTCACACTAGGATCCCACAGAAGACAGAGAGAGGGGGGAGATGAAAAAAACTGAGCCTGGAGTGGAAGCAAAACTGCCTTAAACCACTCTGCGTCGGAAATCCATGTATAGCCCTTGCCGTCGTCCCTCCGTGCAGCGGGATGACCCGGCTGGTGAGTGCCCCTGCATGTAAGGCAGAGAGAAACTGGCTTCAGCTTAGCGTTTCATGCCTCAGCAGTCCAAAAAGAAACGACAACAAAAAACTGTTGCCTGTAAAAGGCAGCTGCCGCTTTACCTCTTCTCCACCCCTCCCGCCGGCCGGGCTGGGGAGCGGTTCCGCAGGGAGCAGCGAGAGGAGGGTGGAAGGGGACTTTGCAAAAGTGTCCGAGCATCAGGCACAGAAGTTTCCAGGGCTGAGCTCTGCCTAGGATCTCACTCCGTCTGCAGCAGGCGATCACTTTGGCAAAGGAGTCGAGGTGCTGGAGGAGGCAGTAGGACTTTTCCCTCCTCGTCGGCTGTTTCCCTAGCTCAGCAAGTAGCAGCCTCTCTAATCCCCAGCGAAGATCCTGCTGCTCGGGCGATTATTTCATCGCAGCAAGCTGCTCCTCGGAGGAAATTCTCATTACGCTCTTCGGAGAGGCAGGGGAGGGGCGACTGTCACTCAGCTGCTCTGGAAAAAACAGAGGGATGAGCCTGCAGCATCCGCGGGCTTTGGCGCACGAGACGTGGTAGTGTTTCTAGGTCAGGCTGCTGATGCAGGACGTGAAGCCGGCAGAGATGACATCCTGGCTGTTTCACCTTCTGTTCCTCGATGGGCAAGGGTTCCACGCAGGGGCTGTGGCTTTGTGGACGTTTGCTCTGTGGGGCCAGGAGGATCACTTTCGGGGGGGCTGGAGGGCGATGGGAAGGTGGGAAGGAGCTTCATGTGTGCTCACAGGAGGAAGTGGAGGC